GGTGACAGCTGAGGCTTGGAAATTGTCTTGCTGCTCTTTTCCCTGAGTGGAGAGGACCTTTTGCAGAGGAGCAGGAACTGGCATAAATTGGAACATGGTCCCACCCTTCAGGAGACCCTGGAGTCCCCTGTATTGGAGGGGAAAGCATGCACACTCATGCAGGGAGATTGTGTCCTCCTCCTCATCCTGGCCCTGTGACCCCCTGCCCCCGCAGATGGTCCCACAACCCACCAATGTCTTCTCGACTTCCCACAATGACAAACGGAAGGCAGAATTGGACATCCAGACTGGGAGTTGCCCCCAGCCCCTTGATGTGTTCAGAAATCAGTCTAAGATGCAACGGCCGGGCCCTAGTTGGCAAGAAAGACCCCAACCAGACAGAAATAAGAGCTAACATGAAGGTCCTCAGGGCCCCAGGGAAATCAGCCAAGAGAACCTCCACTGCCAAGTTCCGCAAATTTCACAAGTTTGTTACAAACCCCACAAGTGTTGTTTGGTTGCTTAAAAACGATTTAATTTTTGCAATCTCCCAGAGAGAGAGTGCCCCAAATTAAAAGTGATGTTTGAAAAATAGCAACTATGGGGGATGAAAGATGGTTCTTCTCCAAGGACGGAGGCCAGCAGGAGTTGGGGAAACAGTCTAGTGTCAAAGGAAGAGAACCCTTAGGTCCAACACCTGAGCCCTGAGATGCCGGGTGATGGAGCCAATTCTCCCCTCAAATAACTAGAAGAGCCATCTTCATGCAGTTCCCCTGGAAATCTGATTGCCATCAGAAGCTTGAGCACTGGGGGTGAAAGGAGGCCCCCTGTCGTAGAGGAGCACGGGGTGAGCTGTGGCCTCAGGCAGGCCAGGGTTTGAAATGTAGCTCAGTCACTCACTCACGTCGTGGCTCTGACAAGGTGCTCAGCTTAGCTGACCCTCGGTTTCCTTGACTGCAAAGGGAAGGTGATTGGTCGGGACTGGACATCACAGGGATGCTGGGAAGTGATGATCATGCTGTGAAGCACACGACAGCTGGTGGTCTAAGGGACCTCCGTTGTGGTCATTACTATTACTGTCATCTTCCAGGTCATTACTCCTGGCATCCATATGGTCATCAAGTTGGCCTTCTTAAGAGGTCTCTATAGAGCAGGACCCTTTGGGACCCCTCATGCCCCTCGTACAATTCCCTCAAGGCCTAGGAATGAGGGGCCACCTGCATGGACTTGGAGAGTGAGCTCTGCACAGCCCAGCAGCAGATACAACGTGGCCTCAGCTCATCATCGGGTATCGCCTGGCCCATGGCCCCGAAAGATAGCTCAGCGGCAATATCCATGTCGCTCCCAGGGGCCTTTCACACCCCAGGACCAGCAGCAAGTAGGACAGAAGGATCCAAGCTCGCAGATGGAAAACCCAGAAGTGAGGCACCTGTGTCGTGGAGAGGTCAGCGTTGGTGGCCCGTGAGAGAGGCCTCCACTGTCGCATGGGCATCTGGGGGTATGTGCCAGGGCAGTGCCTTTCCAACCTCTACATCTTCCAGGTCATTACTCCTGGCATCCATATGGTCATCAAGTTGGCCTTCTTAAGAGGTCTCTATAGAGCAGGACCCTTTGGGACCCCTCATGCCCCTCGTACAATTCCCTCAAGGCCTAGGAATGAGGGGCCACCTGCATGGACTTGGAGAGTGAGCTCTGCACAGCCCAGCAGCAGATACAACGTGGCCTCAGCTCATCATCGGGTATCGCCTGGCCCATGGCCCCGAAAGATAGCTCAGCGGCAATATCCATGTCGCTCCCAGGGGCCTTTCACACCCCAGGACCAGCAGCAAGTAGGACAGAAGGATCCAAGCTCGCAGATGGAAAACCCAGAAGTGAGGCACCTGTGTCGTGGAGAGGTCAGCGTTGGTGGCCCGTGAGAGAGGCCTCCACTGTCGCATGGGCATCTGGGGGGAATGTGCCAGGGCAGTGCCTTTCCAACCTCTTTGTTTGAATGAAAGCTGACAGCACATGAGCTGTCTCCACGTTGCATAGCTGAGCACCAGCCGGCTGTGCTCACAGAACCGCCTTTGGCGTCTTTCAATTGCCTGGCTGCCTGATCGTCGTTCAAGTCACCTTGGTCTGCCCAGCACCAGCCTGGCACACAGGCAGTTCTGGTTGTTCTTCAAAGAACGGCCCAAGGACTTCCCTGGCGGTCCAGCAGTTAAGACTCCACGCTTCCACTGCGGGGGGCATGGGTTTGATCCCTAGTCAGGGAACTAAGATCCCAGACACCTCACAGCGCCGTCAAAAATAAATGAGTAAAATAAAGGACAGCCCACCTTGGTCTGGATGAGTGGCCAGGGGTGACTGAGCGCAGGCTCCAGGGACTGACTGGCCGGCAGTGGCTGCACGTGATGCCAAAAGAGCGGGGAAGCCAGGGAGCTCTGGGTCTCCCCCGGGAAACTTCCCATGCAGGGCACTGGGCACCCTGACCTTCCACCTAGGCAGCATACAGGTGGCTGCGGGGAGCCACGAGATAGCCTGAGACAACTAGCAAGTGACTACATCTACTCCTGCAAGCAATTGCAAACCACAGGTGTCTGTGAGGGTCTCAAGAATCAGTTTGCTAAACGCCTCTCTCTAGTGGGCAGTTAAGATGCTACGTTCACCTGGGGAGAGCAAACTTGGGGAACATCACTCAGTTCCAGAAAGAGGAAAAGGCACAGAATACATACCCTGCAGGTGAATCGGCCTGCATGGCTATTGGGAAATCTGACAATTTCAAATGTCAAATAATCATGCAAATGGACACCAACCAAAAGAGAAGCCAAGCTGGTCAGAACAAGTGGCGTGGAAGTGTTTTATTTTTTATTTTTTGATGTAGACTATTTTTAAGTCTTTATTCAACTTATTACAATGTTGTTCCTGCCTTGTGTTTTGGTTTTCTTGGCCATGAGGCATGTGGGATCTTAGTTCCCCCACCAGGAACCGAACCTGCAGCCCCTGAATTGGAAGGTGAAGTCTAAACCACAGGAGCACCAGGATACCCCTCAGGCAGTGTTTTAAGAGCTTCATGTGAGCTAACTCATTTAATCCTTGTGACAACCTAGCAAGCTCCATGCTGTCCTCACCCCTGTTTCACAATGAGGAAACTGAGGCAGGTTAGACAAAGTCCATATGTGATGACGCTGGGCTTTGAACAGTGGTGGGAACACTGCTGACTCCCGGGACCATGCACCGGATCTGGACACCAAGCTGAATAAAAACAGGACATCTTGCAAAGCAAAGAAAGAGGAATCTAAAGATGTCAACAGCCTCCCTTTGGCAGAGGGGAAGGACCGGTGAACAAGATGGGTCAGGTTTCTAAACTGGCTCCCCTCCCAGCAAAAACTTTCTCTCCACCTTGGAGAGGACCTGCCAAGACCCTCTTGCTTCACCCAAATGAATCGCACAAGTGTTGGGAAAGCAAGCCACCCCAAACCGTGTCCCCCCGCCCCACTGGGCACAGAATGCTGCTTGCAGTGAGCCGTGGCAGGGTTTCCAACTGCAAACAGAAGAGGGCTGGCAAGGAGCAGTGGGGGGATCTGATTCAGACGTTGAGTCCCCCCTAAGAGCCCACCTGGAGCCCCTGGGACGGTTCTAGGTAACACCCAGGGACAATTCTCAGGTCCCTATGTGTGCCTCTGGCAGCCTGCAGCCAGTCTGAAGCAGTCCCCCCGCCTTCAGCTGGTGACCTTCTATCCCAGCTCCGATGAGCCAAGCCAGGCTTCACTCTCACAGGACCCACCAGGGGCGTTCCCGGGAATCCCTGCCATTTCCCGGGGCTGTTTCACCAGCCTCTTAGAATCTACTGTGTATCTTGACTTGAGGCACATCAGGGGCAGGATGGCCAAGAATGCACCTTGTTCTTGCAGAGCCAACGAGACTTTGAGCTGATACCTGGTAGATGGTGGTTGGGGGTGGGGTGGGGGAGGAGCAGTTTAATTAGAAAGCAGAAATCTCAGTTGGATTCCTGTCTGCAACTTGCAGCCTGTAAGACCAGGAGCCCGCCATCCCCCTCAGAAAAATGAAGAAATCGTACCCAAGCCACAGAGGTGTGTGGGTGTGATCTGAGTTACTGGTTCATTGATTCGTGGAATATTTGAGCACTCATTGTACATGGAGCCCTGGAAGTGAAGGTGTTTTGAAATCGGAAGAGCACACCACGGGCTGGGAGGAGGAAGGGGCGCTGGTCTGAGGAGCAGAGCTGTAAGCAAAAGGGAGAGTCTCCAGGGCCCTCTGCCTGAGCAGTCAAAAGTGCAGGAAGCGGGGGCCTCCCACAACCTTGGGGTGCCATGGAGTGGCACCTGGGGCTACTGCTTGAAGGTACTGCTTACCTCAGGTAGCTCCCTGCAGCCAGCCTCTGAGATGGCAGGCTGTACCCTGCCTCTCAGCTGGTCAAGACTGGCATGCAGAGAGGAGACGAACCCTGCCCTAGCCAGCATGCAGCCTAATTCAGCTCCTGTCCGAGCAGCTGCAGCCAGCAGCCCTGGAGAGGCCCATACCAGGAGTGGGTCCACATTGAGAGCAGCCCACTGGGTGGCTCAGGAAGCTCCCTGGCCGCACTGATGCCTCCTGTGATGATGCTCCAAGTAGCTCACAGCCTCCGCAGAAAGCCAGCTGCTCTGGGAGGCTCCCCACTTGCTCCGTGGCACCTCACAGACTGCCACCTTCTCAGGCTTCTGTTGGACCAAAGGATGATTGAGGATGCTGGTAATTCAGAAGCTGACGGAGATAATCGTTCAGTCCAGGCACCAGCTCTCTCTTCTCCTCCTCCCTCAGCCCCATCGAGCAGCAGTTGACCAGGTACCTTCAGATGATTTGGCCCGAGAGTCCCAAGAAATTGCCGCCTCTTCTCTAGAAACTATGCCCACACCTAGAGAGAGGGGTGGTGTCTGATAGCCAAGCTAAATTCTGAAGCACCAGGTCTGGTCAGACAAAGACAACCTTCCAGGACCATGAAACTAACAAGGCTCTGCAAAAATCACATCTACCCATAGTAATGCTAACCCACCAGGAAGCAATGTATCAGGTACCCTGGGAAGCATTTAATGGGCAAGCTGGTGAAAAGTGGAAACCAGGCTCCATTAGGAGAATCTTCCACTGATTGATTGGCTCTTCTGGGAAAAGTTTTCGAGAAAACAAAAGCCTTCTTGGTAGGAATCTAAAAGATCAGGCGTCCTGGTTATGTTGGGAAGAAGATGGGTTTGGAGCCAGACAGATCTTGATTCAGCACGGACTCTAGATAGGGCTTGGGGAGCAGTCTCATTCAAAGGGAGATGGCCAGCAAGGCAAGACATATCAAAGTTTGATTTTGTCCCCTGCATGCGTGTCTTACTTAGATCGTGTGTTTATTTGTGCCAGGGAGGGCTTTGGGGATCAGTGGCTACTGAAGATGATAGCTGGACAGAAACCCTCCCAAACCACCCCTTGGTGGTGTCAGTGTCCTGATACAAATTCAGGAACTGCCACTTCCCATCTCTGTGACTGTGGCCAAGTAACTCAGCCTCTGTGAGCTTCTCTTTTCTCATTTTTGTAAGAGGAATAATAATAATTCCAACCTGGCAGGGTTTTGTGAGGGATTCTATGAGAGAGCATACGGGAAAGGGCTTAGCACAACTCAAGGGTATAACAGGCACTCAGCATCATCAAGTCTCTTCCAGCACAGGCCCCCAGATGTCTTAGAATCCCAAGGAAGGAACCAGATGGGCACTCAGATATGAAAATCTGAAGGGAAAAAAAAAACACAAAAAACGTTGGTTAGATTTTGTGAGGGTTTGCCTTTGGATTTTGTGGCCCACCAACAAGTGTGCTCCAAGAGGGTGCCACATCTGCCCCCCATATTGTCAGTCAGGACCGCCAAGTAGCGGGGATTACTTGAAAGGGAGGCCTCACGGACTAAGCTACAACAGGCAGCGCCAGGCCTGCAGATGAAACAGTCACCATAGCGAATGAATTAGACCAGCGGTTTTCCTAAGGTCTGGAGGCAGCAGAATCTTCCTACAGTGGTTTTTTTTTCCACCCTTTTCTCCCCCCCTGCTCTCTTACAGAACTCCTAGAGTCTGGACAAGACACAGAATGATAGAAGTAGACATGATAAGCCTATTTCAGCACCACGTTCTTTGTAAGGAATCTGCAGAGGCTCCCTGCGGAAACTGCGGGGCTGACAGGAAACTACTGCATTCGCTAATGACCAACACAATGAGCCTGTCCATTCATTCAAGCATTCGTTCAAGAAACGTTTACAGAGGGAGCCTCTGCAGCTTCCTCGAAGATGGTAAGATAAAATGCCACACAGTCCCAGGCCCCGCACATCAATGATGTATCCTGGGTAACAAACAATGTTGGCTCAGTTAGAAATAGAAAGTTGCAAAATTATCTGCCTTGAGACCTCGACCAGTGGATTGCAGAGGCCCATACCTGCACGTTGGTTTCTTTGCAGGGATCAGACGTCTGACTTCGGTCTACCACACCCTGATAGCAAGCCATGTCAGCCCCGTGTCTAGCTCACAGCGCACTTACTGAATGAATCTGGAGGAGCCCTCTTTATTGCCTGCAAGTTACAGCTTCCCAAGGATTAGGAGTCAGAGGAATAAGCCATTTAAGTGAAATTGCTTTTGAAACACAGATGAGTTGGAAACCTAGAAGAAAGGGCTCTTGGCAAGGAACGTTTGGAACTTGGCGGGTTCTGTAGCTCACGTTGTTTGATGCTGCCATAAACCAGCTGCTTTCACCACTCCCTAAACATCAGCTCCCAAGGGAGCAAGTCAGCCCAGGGCTCTCTGGGCAACAACAGTTTCCTGAATAACGTGCAACCTCGTCTGGAGGGCCCAGCCAATCAGCACACAGCATGCAGACTCCAGGGGAGTGTCGCGCCCATCCAAAGCGTTTTGCTTCTCTTCTTTCCATGGTTTCCATAACAACGGATCACACACACACACACACACACACACACACACACACACACTGCAATACAGTGTCAGTTCAACTAAGCATGTTTCCCAGCACTTGACACAATAGATTCCTCACCACTCAGGAGAGATGTCTTCTCACCTGGCATCTCTGGGGCTCCTGCTTCTGGGGGGCCACAGGGGGTCCGACACCTGTAGCCCATCCTAGGGGACCTCCCTCTTCTCTCTTCAAGGGCAATGCCTCAGCAATCTGTTCCCCTCCTTTCAAGCGCACCATACTTGCCTAGGGCTTCCCCGGAGGCTTGTCAGTAAAGAATACACTTTCAATGCAGGAGATGCAAGACACCCAAGTTCCATCCCTGGGTTGGGAAGATCACCTGGAGAAGGAAATGGCAGCCCACTCTAGTATTCTTGCCTGGAAAATCCCATGGACAGAGAAGCCTGGCAGGGGATCAGAAATCCCCTTCAATCCATGGGGTCGCAAAGAGTCAGACACGACTGAGCAAATGCACTTGCCTGAGTACTTGCCTAAATGTGCCTGGAGAATCCCAAGTCAGAAAGATACTTGCTTCATCTTCTCTGATTCCGGGGTCCCTTAAAACCCCTTCTCCCAACCCGGCTCCTACCCAGTTCATAACCAGCTCAAAAGAACACAACTAAGACGGTACCTTTGATGGCCTGCAATACAGCAGCCAGATGAGTGATCCCAGTGGGATCTGAATTTCATTAGTCAAACCAAGATCAGAGGGTTCTGGGTAAAAGTTTGTCAGGCTCAGAGAGACCCAGCCAAGGCTGTGTGAGGAGGGAGGCTGCATCTGGCTGCAGGGACACTTCTGGAGGGCTGGCTCAGAAAGAGAAAAGTAAGCCTCCCCTTTGCAGTTTGCAGACCCAAGCTGTGTGGTCTTAAAGCCTCGGGATCAGCGAGGAGGCCCCAGGCCAAAATTTCAGGCTTAGGCTTCTGGACCCAAATGGGTAGGCTTTCATTATGATAGAAAATACATAAAGTTGAGGGGACGGGTTTTTGTTTGTTTTTGTCTTTAGCATATTAATAGGTTTTAATACAGTTGTCTGGAGGCTTTAGAATAGAGAGACATACCTAACATAGTTCTCGGCACCTTGTAGGAGTTGCCTATTGGATTGCTATTGAGGCAGCAAATGCCTCCTCCTCCCAAGCTGCCCCTCCCCCAGCTCAGGGGCTGGGAGCATCGGTTTTGCTCTCGCCACCACCACCTGTAACTGGGTCACGTCTTACTTATTGCTCTTGTACTCAGCAGAAGAAATCAAATGAGAGTGTGAATTGAGGACTGGGTTAGTTGACACGGCTGCTCTTTTCTGGTGTGCTTTATGAGAGTGTAAGACAATCCCAGTTTACAGCGGGGTTTCGGTGTAACGGAGATTTCTCAGCGCTTTGTGACAGCCTTGCATTCAGTCCAGACAAAGGGTAATGAGCATCATCTCAAATTACCTAATCACATGGTGGCAGCAACCCATCCCCAGGCCGCGCTGGGCATTTCCATGGTGCAGTCCATCCGAGGAGCTCAAAGGGCTTAAAGAAAACCCTTTATTTGTTTGGGAAGTATTATTATCTGGGTTTGACCAAGAGAGGTACGGAGAGGTGACCTGCTTTAAGACCACACAGTAAGAAGGGGCTGGGCTGAGCCTGGGGCCCAGGCGGCTGAGTGGAGCTCCTGGGCTGGGAGATGACACACAGAAAGCATCTTGCACAGAGCCTGCCCTGGCCAGGCCCTGGGGGGACTCGCGGGGACATTGAATGCAATAACAAAGGCCAGTGCAGATGAAATTTAAAAGCGCCAGCCTGAGGAAATATGTGCAGAGAACTGCCTTCTCCTTGAGAAAGCAGAATGCTGACCACATTGCAGGACAGGCATTAAGACACCAGAACTCAGATTACCAACTATTTCTTCAGCCCTTACCGGATGCCTGGTGGCATGCCTGTGGACTGACTGCCAGAGAAGACATTGGCTCGCCTCTGCTCCTATATGACCACGTCACTATCATTAATAATCATAAATGCAACAACAGTAATGGTTAGAAAAGAAAAGCGGATAGTATTTTTCTGACCTTTTCTGCAGATGGTCATGCCTATCCAAAAAATAGAAAATACAACAAATATTCCAGTACCAAGCAAATGCAATGGATTAGTCCCTATAATTACATTTGTTACATTTTAGTTACATGAATGTGTTACTTGGGGAAAAGGAAAAACTTATTTCCAGATTGTTCTATTGCAAAAATGAGGAATAACATTATAGTTTCTGTTATTGATGGGTAAATTCTTTCATTTGACCATGTACTTGAAAGATTGATTTTGAAATTTTCGTGCTCAGTGAACAGGATAGCCAGATTTGCCTTTTACTCCTGGTTAATGAAAGAAAATCATTTATTAATTTTAATTTTGGAAATTGTCTTTCCAGGGACTTCCCTGGTCCAGTGGCTAAGACTCCGAGCTCCCAATGCAGGGGGTCTGGGTTCAATCCCCAGTAGGGGAATTAGATCTCACGTGCTGCAACTAAAGATCCCTCATGTGCATGCTCAGCCACGTCAGTCGTGTCTAACTCTATGCAACCCCATGGACTATAATCCACCAGACTTCTATGTCCATAGAATTTTTAGTTAAGAGTACTGAAGGGGGTTGCCATTTCTTCCTCCAGGGGAACTTCCCAACCCAGGTATTGAAACCGTGTCTCCTGTACCTCTTGCATTGCAGGTGGACTCTTTACCACTGGGAAAGCCCAAAAGACCCCTCATATCACAATGACGATGGAAAATCCCAAGTGCTGCAGCTAAGACCCGGCCATGTCATGCCCTGCTAAGTTGCTTCAGTCGTGTTCAACTGTTTGCGACTCTATGGACTGTGGCCAGCCAGGCTCCACTATCCATGGGATTCTCCAGGCAAGAATACTGGAGTGGGTTGCCCTGCCCTCCACCAGGGGATCTTCCTGACTCAGAGATCAAACCCACTTCTCCTGCAGCTCCCACATTGTAGGTAGATTCTTTACTGCTGAGCCACTGGGAAGCCCTAAGACCCACACAACCAAATAAGTAAATATTTTTTAAAAAGTATCTTTCCTATAAAGCAATAGATATATTGACAGCTCTTAAAATATACATAGCAAAAAAGTCATAAAAATTCAATTTCACCATAAATTCTAGAAATTGCAGTACTGCCCACATCTTTATTTCTCTAAAATCCATTCCACTCTCTTCCAAACGTCTCTATACGGGAAAAAATTTAAACACAAATACTCAAAGTTTGACAAAACAGATTGACAGAATTGAAGTAACTCAAGTTTCATATGAGGACACATTGAGAGAAACAATCACATGATAAATATAGAGCAATAAAGAAAATTCAGAGCAAGGGAAAAAAGAAATAAGAGGTGAAAGTGCAGCCAGAGAGGAAAAGTAATGTTCAGTCTCAGTGCACTGATGTAGCTGCTAGCCTTGAACCATAAATTTCACTCTACATTCTGGGCTTCCTGGCAGCCAAAGGAAAAAGGGAGATGTGACCACTCATGGCATTCACACTGGCAGAAAAGAAACCCTGTGGGAAAGCCTTAAGAATAGTGACTTGTGAACCCGTACAGAAGATTCCACGCAAGGGCCAGCCAAGTCCACCAAGGGAGACAAAAAGTTCCAGGACAATTTGATTCTGCTTTGGTTTCCTTTCCATATTGGTTTTAGGCCAGGAAAGGATGAGTGTTGGAAAGACATAGCAGAGACCCTGTGAACAAACATCAGAAAGGAAGTAACCAGAAGAGATGAATTCTGTTAAGACATTAGAAAATTTGTATT